AACACCAGAAGTGACAGGGGAAGGGTGCGAAGTGAAAGATTTGAGCTGAATAAACTGAGTGCGGTCGGAGAGATATGAGCGGAACCAGTCAAGAGGGGTGTGAGAGATGCCAAGAGAGGATAATCTATTGAGGAGAATGGGATGAGAAATGGTATCAAAGGCTGCACTGAGATCAAGAAGAATGAGGATGGAGAGGAGTCCAGAGTCAGCAGCTATAAGGAGATGTCCAGAGTGTTTGTGAATGTCTGATGAAGCTGCTTTTAGGGATAGGGAGGAATGTCTGGCTGAGGCAGAAATTTCTACACAATTTATTTATTTATGCAACATTTTTTGGTGGAGTCATGCGGACTCAGTATAAGACATACATGCCAGCTAATTTAAACAGCACCTAAAAACCTGTTTGGACAGATCTGTTTACATGAAACTCTAAATCTAATCCAAATCCAATGCATGCTGTCTGAAAGTTTAGGATTATACATGTTAACGATAAGTGGAAGAAGAAGAATTTGGTGTAATCTAATCTTTGTAGTAATCCAGGGTACTTTTTAATCTTTCTTCAGGATAAATACGATAATCTGAGCTGGATGTATCAGCTAAACAGCTATGGCTGGTGAACACTCTTACTTACCGCCTGTTTCCGTCTTGTGGAACTTCTGTTCGAAACTCCGCTCCGCCAGACTTTGTGCCACAACCTCAGGGCTCGGTATCTGGGGGGACGACACAGGTCGTCTCCTGGATGCAGGTCTATTGTCATCTCGTTCCCATGGAAACACAGCCGAGGGTGTGGAAAAGATATCTGACTGGTCAGATGGGTGGCGGAGCGGTGTACTGGTCTGCTGTCGAGGCAGCGAAGAAGTTGCGGTGTCTGAAAACTGGAGCCGCTGCTGAAGAGAATTTAGATTGGAAAGATAAAAGAAAACAAGGCATTGAGGAATAACTGAACTAATTGAGGAATTAATTTCTTTAAAGAAACAAAAAAACTTGGATTTTTTTTTACATTTTCAATAACTTTTGAAAATAGAATAATTCATTCAGATTTAAGTTTGGACATCCAGATAAAATTCTTTCCCGAAAAATCAAATAGATTTCTGCTGTGAAAAAATGCACCATGAAATAAATATGAAAATGATTTCGGCTAGGAAATAACATGCTTTTATCATTTCGTTTATTTTATTATACCAGCAGTAAATTGAAGTATTATTCACTGATAAACACAGTAAGCAGACACCTACTTATCTTAATCAATAAAACTACAGAGAGTCTCTTCATCTGCCTTTTATCTCCTTCCCTTCCTAAACTGGGAGATATATTTGCTATTTTGTGGGACTATACCACCATACATGCCATCTGGCTTTATTAATATTTGGCATGATTTTAAATTCATTGTGTGTACAATCACCATTCACTACTAAATGATTCACAACCTATGACAATAAGTGACTTTATCTGTGAAGCAGATAAACTCACTGCCAATGGAGATAATGAAGCAAACCCTGTTCCGCCCTCCACCGAATCAGACAAACACTGGAACCACGGCACACAGACAGGAGTCACGGATTCTACAACTTCTCCCCGAAACGTTAGTCGGCAACCAAATCCTCTTTTCCAAGTTCATAAGTCAAATTCCCACTGAGCCTGAACTAACCGCTGTGTCTTCCCCTCACTATACAGTTCCAGTTGAGCAGTGTTCAGAGCAACACTTCTCTCTCTGTTTTACTTCTTCAATAAAACCCGTAAAAACTTTTCCCTGGTCTCTCTGTTCGGTTTTCTGCATTTGGGTCTGAACTTTGTAACATCATGACAATGCTAACAAAAAGCACGGTAGATTGAGGACACTTCTGTGTTGATGCAATTTATAGAGCCAGGTTTTTACATACACAAAAACGCCCTATATCAAAAATAGTCCCCTTCATGAATAATGAATGTGCAAACAATCTCACAGTGTGTAAAAGCGACATACATTATCTTTTAATGAGAACTCTGTACATTGAAATCTTAAATCAGCTCTTTTATTCAGTGACCTAATGTTTTGTTTCTTTTAAACAATTTTAATACTGTGTAAGAAAACATCTTTTGTTTGTTCAGTCGTAATGTAATACAGCTTGAACAAAAATTGTTAAAATATGATAATGTGCTATCTATTTAATTTAACGTATGTAAAGTTCAGTTTAATGCAGGAGAAAAGTAAGATTTTTAGGAAAATGGCTGCTTATTTTAGTCCATTAATAAGATCAATCAACTTCAAATTTTTTTCTTTAACTGCATCCCTAATTCAGCTGCATCTTAAATCCTAAATCCTCCCAGAGCATAACCACAGTCAAATGAGCTAAATAGTAATTAGTCCAATAATAAATTAAAGAACTTAGTAGAAATATATATATTCCTAATGTCCCTTCATCAATACATTTTTATAAAGTTTTGCCAAGAAAGCAACACAATGTCGCTACAGATAATTTATCAGTCCTAATATCAGCTACAATCAGAGACCAGTTATAAAAGTTGAAGATACGCCTGTTTGCTGCCATGGTTGATGCTCAGATCAGAGCTAATAGGACAGATTCTCCATAACAATAATTCATTCAGAAATCCAAAACATATTGCTATTTTTAAATCTTCATGAGGAGCACTGTTTGGATTCTGCAGAGCCTCTCCAGCTCATCTTGCCAAAACTCTCCTCCTTATATAAGTTATTGTGGTTCCGCGTAGCAGATGATTCTCAGTAAATAAATCAACTAACTTGACATCCCTTTATGTACATGTCACAATAATATGGATATTTAATTTTTATATATTAACAGAGCCAATGTGATAACTTTACATTTCTGAATTACTATGTGATGTTCTGGTTGCTCCTTTTTCTTCTGAGGATCATACAAACACTGGAAACAGGCTGCATTGAATTTATCTTCTCTATCCGATCCTAAAGTGACGCATCTCAAACAGCTTTTGCAGTCCTGTTGGAGCAGCTATGACACTTTGAGATTGTCATTTTAAATATCAGACACTGCTTTTCTTTGGTTGCAACTTGCTGAAAATGGCTGTGCTAGAACCTGCTTCACAGTCAGCTGTAAGACCACAGATAATGCTATGCTACTCTGTTTGAATAGCCACAGCAGGTCAAGCTGTACTAAAGACAAACCCATCTGGACCACATGGGGGGAATAGAGCTGATTAGTGCACTAAGTCTGTAATTTAAAGATGAGATCGGAAATAAAGATAAACAAAGAGGGATTGAAGTTCTGGTTGTCTGATATGAGAAGAGCCAAATCCTCCCAGTGAGACGAGCTAAGCTCCACAGGAGTTCAGGATTTGAAGAAAGCTCAGTGGAAGAACAAGCTGGTACTTACTCTGATATTATGTCTCTGTCCTTCATCCCGCTGCCCCGATCTATCTTCCTGTCTGCTCCCTGTAGGGCAAAAACAGAACATGATGGCTGAAGTTAGAGCCTAAAACATATTGACAAAGTAGAGCAGGAACAGCTGCGAGTAACCAAACAGTGGAAAGATAAACACAGCAGCCCCCAGAGAGTAACGGGGTGGGAAGGCTGAAGGACTTTATTTATAATCTCTGCTCATCTGGGAATCTCTGTGGTTTTACTATTAAAATGAATAAATCATACAGAGCATGAGTTGAAAGGAAAATCGACAGGAATCACTAAATAGAGCAAACAAAGGAGCCATAAATTTCAAGCACTGTACCATTGTGTTCCCAGGGTGAGGATGCACTCCAACAGGGTGTGGAAAACAGAGCGGTGTCTGAGAGCCTGCTGCTGTTCTGCAGTTTTTCCAACTCAGCTTCCAACCTGCCACCGAGAGACGGACGGTGGTGAAACAGAATGCAGGAAAACAGAAGAACCCACAGGGATGAAACAAAACAAAACAAAACAAAAAAAAAACAAAGCAAAGGATCCTAATGAAAAATGTTCTACTGAATTAAAAAACAAAGTACTAAAGATATTAATTTATTTCTGATATCATAAATCTTCATCTGAAGGCAAAACCCGCCAGTACAGACAGTGAAATATACATTGCTTGAAACTGCTTCAAACTTTTACATTAAGTTACATTACAACCACAGATGTCACTGCATTGGCCAGCACTACCACAAAACTAGCAATACAAGGCTGTTGACCTAAATTGCTAAGCTTGGGAATAGCAGTGACAAAAGAATCAGCGGAGGCCTGTGGTAGCTCTGCAGGAGCTGCAGAGAGCCACCGGAGCAAGGAGACTATGTTAATTAACAAGATAATTATTAGTCCTTCAATCCACCTATCTGGCCTTTACAGAGAGGTAAGAGGAAGAAAGTGGTTGTTAGAAGAAGTCTGGTTTCAGTCAGCTAAAAGCTACGTAGGGAACAAAGCCAACATGAGGAAAATGATTTGATCAGATGAAAGCAAAAGAGCTTGCCTGACATGGAGAAAGTGAAAAAAATGCAGCTGTTATTGTTTCAAAAGGCATTTATATGACAAGTAAAAATAAAAAAGCGGGCCACACTTTTCGGGTTTAAAAGACAGAGTTACTGTAGTCTTACTGTCTATCTTGACTTTACTCTGTTTTTAATGACAACATAAACAATATAAACATGCTAAACATTAAGGGAATATCAATGTAACCATGCAGTCCACTCAGACTGACCTTTTGATTTCTTGGCTCAGCTGGTTGTTATGGTTACGAGCAGCATCTAGCTGCCCCTCCAAAGAGCATACTTGGGCCTGCTTTGTGTGAAGTTCCTGGGTCAAACGCTCCTTGCTGGTCACGGCTGCCTCAGCATCTTCCCGAACACTTTGAAGCTCTCTCTGTACAAAATGCAGCTCCCCACGGACCTCCTCATACTTGGGCAAAAAAGAGGGAGAATATTCAATTCAATTCAGTTTATTTATTTAGTGCCAATTTATAACACATCATCTCAAGCCACTTTACAGTACAACCAGATCATACAACCAAACTGATTCAAAGTTTTTTTATCTAAGGAGAACCAGTTCATTGCATCGACTCATTGACTCAAATACAATCCCTCACACTAAACATGCTTGTAGTGACAGTGGAGAGGAAAAACTGTCTTTTAACAGGAAGAAATCTCCAGCAGAACCAGGCTTAATGTGAGTGTGAGATACAGAAAGAAGGAGAGACAGAAAGAAGGCGGCCCCGTCCAGGAAACACACAGCCAGGCAGACGAGCTCCGAGCCAGCTCCCATATCAGAGGACAAACAGAGCACATCCAGCCAGTCATAGACAGAGAAACAGGACTAAACTGAAAAAAAGGCCAATCTCCAACATCTATAAACAAAGGTGTTGATGGCAGCAGCACAGCTGATAGTCTACTGCTGTTCCTTCAATTCCTACAAAAATATTCAAGTCTTTCTAAAAGAATATTAAGATTAACTGTATCAAATGCAGCACTGAGATCTAACAGGACAAGTACAGATACAAGTCCATTATCTGAGGCCATCAGAATTTCATTAGTGATTTTCACCAGAGCTGTTTCAGTGCTATAATGACCTCTAAAGCCAGACTGAAACTCTTCAATAAGTTCATTATGGTGTAAGTGGTCGAACTACTTTCTTAAGAATTTTAGATAAGAAAGGAAGATTGGATATAGGTCTATAACTGACCAAGTCATCTGGGTCAAGAGACAGTGTCCTAAGTAAAGGTTGAATTACCTTAAAAGCCTTTAGTACATATCCCTGTAACAGGGAGAGATTAATCACATCTAAAATGAAGGATGAGATCAAAGGGAATACTTCCTTAGATAACCTGGTTGGAACTGGGTCTAACATACAAGTTGAAGGCTTAGATGAAGACAATAGTTTTGCAAACTCTGAAAGTTCAACTGGGTCAGAGCAGTTCAAATTCTATGGCTACCTCAGATGCTGCTTCACCATCCAGAGATAAATCAATCATAGATAGAGGAGTGCTAATGAGCTTATCGTTAATGAGATCAATCTTATTTATAAAGAATCCCATAAAATCATTACTGCTAAGAGCAGGTGGGATGGACGGTTCAACAGAGCTATGGCTCTGAGTGAGTTTGGCAACCGTATTAAAAAGAAAGCTAGGATTATTCTTATTCTCCTCCAGCACGATTTTCTCTACCGTTTCCTAGCATTTTGCTTTACAGTGCGCAGCTCTGCATTAAACCAAGGAGCCAGCTTTCTATTTTTAATAGTTTTTAAAAAGTAATAGGAGGGAAGGGAGGGATAAGATCCCATTTTTTCTGTTCAACAAACACTCATCTAATGCCGCATGCATTACTTTACTAATATGTTACAGATCAAACTGATTATTTTCCTAGGAAAATGCAGTCTGTAAATGAGAACTATACATAAGCACATCTGTGTTTACCTTGGCTGTTTGTTTTTCAAGGCTGGTATGAGTGTTGTCCAGCTGCAGCTGTTTCTGTTTGTTCTCTCTGGACAGTCGATCCTTAAGGACCTGCAGCTCCTTTACTTTTTGAAGGACCCTCCCCGAGAGGCCCACAGTCCAGTCCTCCTCAGCCCAGCTCATCTCTGTCCGTCTGGGCCTGACAGGATGGCAGGAGAAACGATATTATTACAAACACACCCAGGAACCCTTTGGCCTCCAAGAAAGAAATATTAACATTAGTTAGAAAACACACTTTCCGAGAAGGGTTGTCCGAAGCGTGGGACTTGGGCTATATGTGGACCTCCAAAGGGCTTTGCATGGCCCTAAACCTGAATTCAGCATTGGTGTAACAGTTGGGCATCAATTTATTTATTTATTTTTTAGGAGCTTTTGAAGTGTTTTTTATTTTATTCTAGTCATGTTTCCTCTTTAATGTGCTTTCATTTTAAGAAGCATAGCACATAATCCAAAGTTTTTGAAGAAGTTTGCCCCCTTTGGTGATAAGTTAAGATGACACCAGCACTATCCAGATGTGTAGGAGAAGAGGAAAGACCTGCTGTCTGCCATTGTGACTACACAGGTCTTTTGTTCACAATACTGATAATATTTTTGATAAGTATTTTAGAAAAAACAAGCCCAACTACAGTATTTTTTTTCCTGCCCAGGGCAGAGCTGAGTTCCCTTGAAAACTGCCCCAATATTTACTCTGATCTTATCCCATCGCTAGTCAGACTCCAACTTGGCCTTTCATGCCACACTAGAAAAATGTTATTTTCTTCCTCTTGTGTAAAGTCTATGATAACGTTTGAGGTGCACCTGTGGCTGGTCTTTTTTGATCTTTTTACAGTAGTTCTCTCTCTCAATGGCAGCAGAGACGCAAAACGGTAGTGTAGAATAATAGAAAAATTGGGTCCGAATCACTCTCTAATGAAGTGACTAATGGAGCCTATAGAGGCAACTGCAGCAAATAAAAGCTTAAGTTACATCTCAGGGAAATATAAATAAAAGATAAGTAAATAATTAACTTTTAATATCTAATTAATATTATATTTTTATTATTCAATGTATGGGAAAGAAAAATAAATCAACTTTTAAACTTGTGCAATGCACCTTTGGCGTGAAACGCGAAATGGAACTAAAAACATCCAGATCTTTAATGAAAAATATTATTGTTATGTTTAATATTCTCAGCATTTTCAACATTAATCTTTTTCAGACTTTTTTCAAAAAATGCTGTTTTGTTTCTGCCATGTTTCTGAACCCACGTCAATCAACTCTTGTCAAGAAATATGCATTTGAGGATGAAAATCTGAATAACAAGACGCACGAATCTTAGTCTGCAATAACTTACAGATGGATTTCCTGCAAAAACCTGACGCATTTGTTTGTCTCACTAAAATATTGTGTATTTAAATTAGGGCTGCAACTAATGACTAATTTGCTAAATGATTAATCTGTTGATTATTTTCTAATTAATCAATTAATAAATCAGATAGCAGATTTCTTTACAGATTTTGGCTAAAACTTTTCCACTTGTGGAGTTCTGGATAGATCATACTGACAAAAGGTTTAAAGGTTTTAAATACAAAAGGTTTATATAATTTTTTTTTTTTCTATTTTGGAATATTTACTGCTCTAAATGGGTAACTCTGTCAGCTAAAGGCATGTTTTAGAGTCTCTATAAGGGGAGTGGCAGCCTAGTGGTTAGGGCATAGACTTGGAATCCTGAGGTTCTGAGTTCGAGCCCCACTCCCACAGACTGCCACTCTGGGTCTCTGAGCAGGAACCTTAACCCCACACTGCTCCCCGGGCGCCGCACAATAGCAGCCCACTCCTCCCCAAGGTGATAGGTTAAATGCAGAGGTAAATTTCTCCAATGTGAGATCAATAAAGTTCAGTTATTATTAACTGATATACTTCAGGTAACAATTAATCGATTACTGAATTAAATGATGATTAATTCAATCACGATTTATTATACAGCTCTAATTCAAATTTATGCTGATATTTTTAATAACATAAATTATGAAAATATACAAGTATTTTCAATTGAAAGAAGAACAAAAAAATCTTCTTTGAACAAAGCTAATTTGGCCCATGCGGCCAAAAGCTTGGAAACCACAATTATAGAGCTATCCCAATCATCATTTGTCTGAGGAAAAAAGTTGTGATACTAAAACAAAGAGGAAGGCTGGTAAAAAATAAATCAGGTGCATATTACTCCCGTAAATCAGGGTTTGTCTTTTGTTGCTAAGGCTTCGCTTCCTCAGGGAGATACTGGTTGTCACAACTGTTCAGCTGTGACTCAATGTTTTCCTACACAAACTGCTCCAGCTGTTATGACAGATGAAAATAAATCCCCTCTGTCCCACACTTTGGCATGAACAGTAGTACTTTCACATAAAACCTTTTCTTCAAGCTTCCAGTGAATTTAGTGTACTAATCGTCTGTGCATTTAGGTAAGCAGCACATATAGATGAAAGTAAAGAATGATGAAAGTGAGACCTGGAATGGAGAAAAGCAAGACTGATAGTCAGCGAAGTTCAGTTTTGACATGTAATCCAGCCTCAGGGCTTATTATCAACGTTATAACTGCACTCAGTTTGTGTCAAAGCTCAGTGAGCGTTTATCTGCTTCTCTACACTTACGAACTGACAGAGGGTAGGCAACAAAAAAAAAAGTTGAAGAGTGAACAACAACAAGAATGCCAATCCTGCCCCTAATCAATTCAAAACACATAATCACACTTGCTTAACTAAGAACATGGAGCTCGTTAAAACATTATTTTAATTTTGTTTATGAATAATTAAGCTTTTGCACATTACCATCAATGCTCCATTCATGGTTAAGGTAATAAACAAAGTATGTAGCTGCATCTTAAAGCCAGAACATTTGCTCTTATACTTTTGCTTTGTTCTGATTACTTTTCTTTCTCTCATCAGCTCATTGCTTCAGCTCAGAAACAGTCCTGAGCTTAAGTCCATTGTTGCACCTGGTGCATTGAGATCCCCACAATACTTATGCAATCAGGGACAGGGATTAGATGAGAGATCACATATCACATTGGACGGGTTTATTACATGTTGTTGAGGTTCTAAAAAAACCAAGTGAGGTTGAAAAAGATAAACCACAGCTGCAATTATAGAGATGAAAGACTGAGGTTTTAGCATATTAGTGGTTCATTAGATTTGACAAGAAAACTCCAAAAAATGTGGTTATATTACACCTAATAAATAATATCCACCCTTCTAAGTAGGTTTAGATTTACTTTGGTTTAATAATTTAATAACAAAGCATTGATCCACATCAAAACATCCATTAAATGATTAAGAATCAAATTACATCAATATATTATGAAAGATTAATTCCATGTTATCCTTTTTAAGCTATTCCTGAATTTTGCAATTCACAAGTTTATTGCTAACAGATGATCTAAGTTATTATTTTAGTAGAATAATGCTGATCTTAAAGTAATGATGCCTGTAGGAGCTCAGAAAACAAATGGTGATATATACAGTACATAAAATTATATATAGTTTACTACACTGTGAAAAATAACCAAATTGTTTGCATTGCTTCCAAGCTTCAGTTAAACATCCCCCAATCCTGTGCTGCATCTCCTTCATAGTCACATGCCAAACAACCAGCACATGAGTCCCCTTCCACTCTTGAAACAAGCACAAACAGCGCAATATGGATGCAAACGTTGGTTGTTAATAAACGCAGGATTTTACTTATTGAGCTGCTTATGGTGTATTAAATTACTGACTAAATTTAGCTCTATTTAGCTTATTCTTATAACCTGGTGTAATAACACTGCAATAACATTTTATCTATTTAACAAACCAAAAAACACACTTTATCTGCCACCACTTTACTTTACATAAGATACTGTATATCTAAGTGACTAAGTCTCCTTTATTTTTTACTATCCAATGTATATATCTGGGTGCACTGTATATATTTCATGCACCTTTTCCTCCTTCGCCCTTCGTGCACCTCCTGTTGTTTGCAAGAGCCGATGTCACAAGTGAATTTCTCTATTGTGAGATCAATAAAGTTCTATTCTATTCTAAGTAGATCATATAACAACTGATTTTTAGATGAAATAAAAGATGGTCTAGAAGGAGCAACGTAAGGCCTGATCAGTACTAGAACCAAATCTTATCAATGTTAAATTAAAACATAAACACACCGTGATACGGACGGAGAAGGGATGAAACAACAATCCCTAGGTGCATAATTACAAAACCCACAATTTTTCACTTTAAGAAGAATGTCTTTCTAACACAACTGTAAATAAAACAATAAAAAGGGTGTTTAATCCACAGAAACTGATGTAATGACTTAATGAGTCTCAATGAGTCCTGAGAGGATGTTGGAACTTAACAGTGAGAATAAGTTTCAGCTCTTCATAACAGTGTTAGGCAACGCTTTTTCTACTGACCTCAAATTCAGAGCTCTCTGACTGTGCTGCGTTTTTGAGCCTCACTTTTGCCCTGCTCCCCCCCACAGAGCCCAGGTCTATTGTCAGTGGCCAGCTTTTAGAATGTGTGTCATTGTCTTCCTGCATGTTGAACTATTATGATGTCCATCGTTTGACAAAAAGGTCAACTAAAAAGGCTGCTCAGTGGCGCAGTGGGTAGCACTGCTGCCTTGCAACAAGAAGGTTCCCGGTTCAATTCCTGAGCCTGCATGGAGTTTGCATGTTCTCCCTGAGCATGTGTGAGTGTGAGCATGTGTGTTCTCCCTGAGCATGTGTGAGTTCTCACCAGGTACTCCGGCTTCCTCCCACAGTCCAAAAACATGACTGTTAGGTTAATTATCTTCTCTAGATTCTCCTTAGGTGTGTGTGTGTGTGTTATTTGGTTGTTTGTCTCTGTGTTGCCCTGTAATGGACTGGCGACCTGTCCAGGGTGTATCTTGCCTCTTGCCTGGAGACAGCTGGAGATAGGCACCAGCACCCCTCTTGACCCTGCTTGTTATTAAGCGTGTAAGAAAATGGATGGATAGATGGTTATCTAAAAATAGCGCCATACATACCTAGGTTTTATATCTCACTGATAAATTGTCAAAATTAGCTTTTTTTGTGCACAGTTTGGAAATGAATTATGAACAATCCATTCATCTATGAATGTCGATATTAAGGTACACTTTTTTCTGAAAACCACACTGACGGCTATAGAGGTTGATTTCATAAATAAATTGGAATATCATAAGCCTTCTATAGTGATAGTATACTTACATTGAACTATTAGATGAATGCTTCAAACTTTCCCAGAATTAGTTTGATCACAGAAAGAATCAAAGATGCAAGATTAAAATGTTCAGTACATATTTTCAGTACATGTTCACATGTTTTTGGTTCTACTTTACACTGTCTATTTCACCCATAAGTTGGGAAATTTGTGTTCTGCAGGTTTCCTCAACAGGTTCATCACAATCACGTGACTAAATGACGTAACAAATGGATGGATACTATGCTGTGGACGTGACAGATTTTAAAAGTTATTAAAGCACATCATAAATAAAGGAGGCAAGCATCCAGAACCCCCAGCGGCGGCCTGAGATAACCCGGGCTGCCCAGTCAAACAGCTTGAATAAAACTATAGACATCAACAAATAGAAGTTTATTTTCCTCTATAAACAGGTTCTGTAACCCAGCCGCAGACTTGGCTAAAGCAAAGCGAAGAGTCGCTTTTCTATCAGTTTTTAGTTCGGTCCATCACTGGTCAACGGCTGAACCCAACAGTGATGCTAGAAGCTAACTCCGCACTGAGGCTACTCACCATTCACTTCAGAGCCTCACAAAGAGCGCGGTCATCCGGGGGGAGTCAGGCTGTGTCAGCGGTCGTACAGCTCAACATCAGCGTCCAGGGGAGTAAAGAAATAAAAAGAGACAACTTTAAAAAGGAGACAAAGACGCGGGTGGACCGTTGACAGTTTTTCTATGACGTAAAAGATGCCGCGGGATCTGTCCAACTGATAACTCAACAGAACCCAGGGCGGCACGAGGCAGGAGGGGGTTGGTGACGTAGCAGGGGAATGTTTTGGGAAAAGTCCTCGTGGCGGGTTGACTCTCGGAGGACCTCTAGCGACGAAATTATGTCACTTGCACCTAAGAACGAAAACAAACCTGCATGTTTATCTGTTTAGTTACTTAAATATCAAACGTTATAATTTCTAGAGAATATATTCTCTATTACTGTTTTTTTAATACACGTTCTAGCGTTTCCCATATCGTTAGTTTTATTTAAACATGCTGAATAGTTATAACTGTCTAGTATACGGATTAGTTTACTAACCAACAACAGCAAAATTTCCTACAAGTGATAAAAATGGCAGCAATTCTATTGCTATTCTATTCTGTTATATTCTATTATGTTCTGCTTTATTCCACTCCTATGCTTCTATGAATTTTAGATGTTTTAAATAGAAATACAGATTTGAAAATGACAGAACTTGGTTCTAATTTAAACAGTGTCATTCATTCAAATAAATTAACAAATTATTTAAAACATACATTTGGACAGAGCAACTAAATTCTAGTTTATGTACAGCAGAAAAAGGTCAGAAAGAAAAAAAAAGAGAGAGAAAAAAACGACTCCACAGATCCTCATAACAAAATAAATGATTTAAATGAATAAACACAAAATGTTTTTGTAATGTACAATTGACAACAGAGTAAGCTTCACATCCTTAAGGTCTCCATCCTGTCCGGCCAAACTGACTTCTGTAAATGCAGCATAAATATGCCCCATGTGAGACAGTCTTAAACTGCTCAAGGAATGAACTATTGATCAGTTGTTTTGCTCTCAGGTGCAATTTTATTAATAAACACAACAAATTCAGAAACCACTGCAAGATGTTAGGAAAGGTTTTAATACCCAATTTGTTGCAGCGTCCAGTATTTGAAATGTTCTGTTGGAATATAAATGTATCAGTTCTGAAGGAATACATAATACCTCACATCTGCTACATAAATACTGTGAGGTATCAGGTTAGATATTTTGAAACAAGGTTGCAGCACAATGTGTTTGAATGATATGTTTGACTAGACTTCTGGACGTCATACTTTGTGTCATTGGTTGTTGTTCAGGAGGACAGTGAAGACAGACTTTAGGAAGCAGGTAAGGTGTGTCGATTATTTAAATAAAAGATTTACAACAGAACAGACTTAAGGCATGGATACAGGAGACAAAGCAGAGAACCAAATAAATTCTAACTGCAGGGTGACAACTTAAATAGAACAGGGCATACGCTCAGATAAAGGAGAAACACAGGTGAACAGAGTTGACTAGTTAATGATTGGTCTGCCTGAAAGACAAATTACACAGAGAGAGAAAAGTTGGCAAAACAACATTAACAAAACCTGTATCAAAACAGCAAAAGAATGACTAATAGAGTTTAAAAAAAAGAAAAATAACAACACTAAAAGTAGCAAAAATAACAGAACATGGAAATAAATAAAATGGAAGAGACAAGAAGTAAATCAGAACCATAATCTAAGCTGCAGATGCTGACATTTTGAGGCTTGAAAAATGCTGTGTATGAGTTTGCAAGCAGCTGTCTGAAAATTCCTCCTTGATGTCTTTCTGCTCTCTTAAATACATTTTAACTTTACTTGAAAAACTGAGAAATTAAAGCATCATCATTCGATATTGTAGTTGTTTTGTAATTTATTAATTTGCTCTTTATTTTCATTATAATAGAGAGCTAAAGAGGCCTCCTTATATGAAACTCCTTTAAACAAACCTCAGCTTAGTTTGCTTTGTAGTATCCATTGATCTGAAGCCTTCTCTAGTGAAGTTCATAAATAAAAATTCTGTCAGTATTTTTTTAGAACATATATACTGCCAACATTTTAATTAACATGAAATTCCCACCATTTTAAAATAAAACAAAAACACACTGGAAAAAATTTAAATCTAAATAAGTATTTTTTTCCTAAAATACCTGCATTTGTTCTTAAATAAATAAGGCAAGTTGGACACTTTGCCAATGGAACAACACAATTTACATTTAAGATATGAAAAAAACAATTCCATTGTCTTAATCAACATGCATAATAATTATATTATTTTAAGAGTAAAAATACGAATTCCATTGGAAGTCATCTTAATTACCTACTCAAATTAAGGCTAAATACACTTAATTTAAGACATTTTTACTTATTTCTAGGTCGTTTTTTTTTTCATTGTAGAGATCAAAATATGTTCATCCATAAAAAAAGTAAATTAAAAAAAGCTGTGTGTAAATAAAGTCCCCCAAATATATAGAGAAATATAAGGGCTAAATCTGAGAGTCAGGAACACTCTCTATGCAATGATGACCTCTAGAAAAAAACAAAACAAACCGAGACTATAATGGTTTCAGGAAAGATACATAAGATATTTCCTGGACTTTGAGGCAGTTGTAATGACACTTTGCAGTGTATGATTATGTCCACAAAGCAACACTTTATGAAATGTCTTTACTGAAAAAGCCCAAAGACAACAGTGAAGAATATATATTGCTGAATACATTCAAAAGCTGCACTGAGTACTATTTGCAAGCTATCTCTTCTAGTGTTACATATCAGGACTGAGAGTAGAGTAGTGATTAGATTATTGCAGTCACAACAAGCAGTCATTCTTCCAGGTACTCTGTGGATTTGAATGTAATCTGGGATTTAGTGGCTCAGTGCTGAGTGGTGTGGAAACCCAGGAACCGGTCTGATGTTCCTTACACACATTGAGACAGACTGCTGAGTATATGCAGGTGATTGTTATGTCATCCCACTAAGATGATATGTAAGAACAGAGTAGTAATGATGCAGAATTGCTGTTAGCCGATTCAGAAACAATCTCAGATGTTTCTTTTTCAATGGTTTGCTCAAGACTTAACAGAACATTTCAACTGTCATGTCATGTCAATAGTTGAAAACAGCTTCCTAATTAACCACACATAAAGGCTTGTCTGATGATGGAAGAAGAAGGAATTAAATCAGGAATATATGAAGAAAAAAGGAAGTTTTCCTAAATAAAAAGGATCAGTTAGACATCAGCCCCGTGCTGTTATGTAAAATGGTTTCCATCAGTCACACTGACGCAACCAGCTCTCCCTGCAGGCGTGCACTCATATCCCAATAAGCTCATCTCGTCACTCTATCTTTATTAATACAGGATGACATCCAATCTCAATCCTAAACTCACACACTCTTTCTTCTGCTGAGGATCTCCACAGGCAGCTGGAGTCTCATTTGGTCCTTTTGCTCATGGAGGTCTTCTCTTCTTCTGGCTGCTGACAGAGTCTTTACCTGACAACCGAGAGAGTCCTGCCAGATAGAAACACACCACACCTTTGTACATCCTTCATACATCCAAGGTAAGACTAGTCATTCACTAAAATAGAGATGTTTTAACATTCATGTGTTTGCTGTGATTTTATTAGAGAGATACTTATTTATTGTTATTTAACATGACTTCCCAGATGTTTCCTTGGTCTGCTGTCTTCTCCCTTGAGCCCAAAGTGCCAGGTCAGCGATCCACTGAGGAGCTGGTGACCAACACTCTGATGCTGGAGCTGGGGGCCATGGTAAAGCGAACTGAGCGCATCCGTTTGGAGAGAGCTACCGAGGGCCGGCGCAGGCGCCGGAGCTCCTCCTCCACTGCAGACTACAGCTGGCTGGCATCCACCCCGACCCCTCAGCCATACCAGCTCACCCCCAATGACCTGCTGGAACTGCAGGACCTCTGTGCCAAGATCCCCCCTGCACAGTGTGGCCCTGTTATCGTCAGGTAAGAACCACTGGGAAGAGGTGGAGAGCCACTCAGGCAGGAATATATACAAAGAACTAAATAAAAATATATAAATCTAACCTTTACTTTACTATAAAACAGTTTTTTCATAAAACTCCCCAGTTCTCACATTACTAAAGATTATATTTCAGGTCTTGTAGAACAATTTTTTTTTATATCTTTAACCTATTTAATAATTGTTTCTTTGCTTTGAATCAATATTCAGACTCACTGAGATGAGTTTATCATATAGCTCATTATGAAATAGAGACAACATTACTGTACATGTATAATATAAAGAGGTAACCAAAGACAAGAGAGTTGCAGAGTTGCAGTTTAGTAATCCCTGTAACACTCTAAGCAACAACATGCTGATACTCTCAGATCCTCACCCCTATCTGTTAAATGCTTACAAAAAAAGTTTAATCTTCCTAGTTCTGAAAATATAATTCTTTATTCAATTTGAGTCAATTTACCAACCAGATCTACTTAAATGGGTCAAAACGGAACAGCATACATCTGGAAATTTCTGAAATTTTGTTAAACATAGTGCAACATTTTAACTAAAGTGGAAGAAAAATAGTATAGTTGCATGATTTATGAATAGAAATCTGTTGTGTGATGAGCATTTATACCATCCCACCCAAATATTGTCAATTAATTGCAAACACCTTTGTGATTTAAATTAATCTGTTCTTTGAAGGCCTCAAATGTGTATTAGAGGACATTAGTGAAGAAACAGCTTTGTGAAACTCAAGGAAAGCAGCAGATATGTCAGGGAGAAAGTATTTATCATGTTATCAATATTATTCCAAACTTTGAACAGATCTGAAAATGGATTATATACAGCATACAGCAAGGCAAGGATAACCCTCTAATCTGCAGTCGCCAAGAGGTCATTTCTAACCCTGCTTTTATCTCCAGTTCAGATTGAAGTACTTTGTGGAAATGTTGCTGTTTGGCAACAGTAGTTTAGAAAATACAGCAAATATGTGGAAGAAGGCTCTCTGTTCAGATATAATTCCTGCATTTAAAATGCTATGTTCATATCAAACATCCTGAACTTAGCTGTGGCATTGTAAGACACAGAGACGGCTGAAATAATCAAACTGGGAATCTGTGGCAGGACTTGAGTTATTTTTCAAAGATTGGGCCGAGATATATGGAGAAGTGAAATGAAATCTACTTTAGATAAACCTTCACACTGTTGACTCAGCAGGTTTGAATTCAGATACATGACTTGTTTTTAAAAAATATCCTATTTGTAAAAACATTAAAACTATATTTTTCTTTCACTTTATAATCATGTGTTAATTTGATTACGCTATCATGCACATTCCCCATTTGACAAACACTGGAGTTTGTGCTTGTAAATTAACAATTTGAGAGAAAAGATTTTCAAGGCTTTTTTTTTTTTTCGTTTTCCAGGGGCGTAGAGAGAGACAATTTGTTCCTTTTAAAAAAAGGCCACCTTCACCATAATGGTTATCAACCTGCTTTTTTCTTCTGCTTGATTGGCTGATGTCAAACCTGCTTTTTTAGACTTAAACTGATGCAAACATATTTATTTAGATCCCATCTTCTCCCCTCATTGCAGGTTTAGGAGACTTGTTTCACAGATGGAGCCTGAGGTCCACGAAGTCCCCCGGCTGTTCCGCACAGTGCTACGAGACTGTGTGGATGAAGTCAACGGAAACGACGAGGTCCAGGCCCAAAGCACGTTTTACGAGAAGCACCAACGCAGCAAGAGCCTCTCCTTTGTTACCTTCCGCACAAAGTTTCGCACTGGGCAAATGTTCAAGGGGAGCGGCTTGAGGGGCTCCAGGGGGAACCTGCAGCAGCAGGTCGACTGGTCTGATGAGGAGGAGGATGGGGAGGGTGAGGAGGAGGCCATCAGGGACAGAGCAAGGAAGGGGAGGAGCAAGAGCATGCCAGAGATCACCCCTCTGGAGCAGAGCGCCCAGGGGTGAGAAGACGCCCTGGGGTGATGGAGGGAAGCAGGACTCTTGGTGGAACAGGGAGGAAGGAAGGAAAAATGGGTAAATGATGGATATGAATAAAGACTAAATAGGCAAGGTTTACATCAGGGGAACATTCACCTTTTTCAACATCTCACTATAATGCAGATATGAGATGTAATAAAAAGGGACTAAAAAAAATCTGTTTCCTTCCAGTTAACTTGAGGCAACCAGGAGCATTATTGTTCTGATTTTAGTCAGTTTAAGGTATAACATTATGCTGATGGTAAATTATCAACCAATCTGAAACCATGCAGCAGATATCTGAGGCAGAGAAACCAAGGATAGTGTCTCACAGACAGGTTTCAACTCTGATATTTAACAGAAAAACATTTCTTTACTATTCCCTCAAATTTCTTCATTAAAATGGCCTATCAACATTTGTTTTAGTAATTTCTAGAAAGGAAACTGTCACCATGTTGCACATTGAACTATAATGCATGTTGTGTTGGGTGGACAGCTTTAATACTGCACAATGTAAAAGTTATCTGATGAACTGTCCCTTTAAATCACGTTATGTAACAGGGAGAGGTGACTGTCCTGAGCTGAATTAGGACATTAGGCTCAGGCTGCTTTCCTGCTAACTCAGCAGATCCTATCAGTTAGTGACTACTTGGTCAACAAAGATCCTGCAAGTGGAAATCAATCATTATTTTTTATTACTGTACATATGCACTCATATATTTTGAGAAATAGACAAGAAATGTTGTGATATTTTCTGTCATTAAACATGTTTTCTCTATATTATTGCTGTTTTGCTTTAAATATTAATATTTTTCAAAACATGTGCCTGAATTGAGAAGGAGTTTCAGTCTGCGGTAAGAAAACATAATTAGTTTAATAATATTCTTGGATTCGAAAGCTCTGATATAAATAAAATAAAGATCAAACTCTAAGAAATAGGGTTAACAGCTTAAAAAGATTCATGAATGAGGGGAAAAAAATGCTTTGCTTAATATAGACTTGCATGATGCATAACATATCTGCACTGAAGTGTAAACTTATATAAAACAAAAGCTTCACAAAAAAGGGCTTTGCTACTTTACAAAAAAGTTTGATTTTAAGAGTCACTGAAAATAAGAAATAATTTTCACTGCATGAGACCAACATCCTGCCAATCCAACATCACTGTGAAAAGTTCCTTAAAAGTCCAGTGGAGCAACAATAAAACATTTTTCTCCTTCCACCAAACTTTACACTTGAACAAATGAGTAGTTTCATTACTAGAAGATGGTTTCTGCATACGGTCCATTGCAGCTGACACTTTGCTAATGATGATGCAGATGATGGGCTGCAGACCTCCATAGTTTCGAGGTCTGCAGCTGTTAACTCTGCAAGAAGTGGGTTGCTTTTGCACATTGTGCACCCTAGTATGCACTGTTTCCCAGGGGTGGACTGGGGGAAAATTCAAGCTGGGATTGTTTTTAATCACTCAACCCAATTAACGCGAACCAGTTGAAATCAAGAGCATCATAAAGCAACCAATGGGCAAAGGAAATCATTGCCTCTCTATGTCCGGGAGCCCAGGACATATCTATCGATGACTTATTCTATACTGTATATATTTACCACTTAAAAGTGGTGTGTTACGCTGGACATAGTAGCTAAGGTAGATCCTAAAGTACCAAGTTTGTGTTGGAGAAAATGTTTTTGTTTTGGTCATGCCCCAAGTTTCAAAACTTTTGGTTATGATGTTTACAAGGCTATAAACCAGATCTTTCAGGAGGTTATCCCCAAGGATGTAATGGTTGCAATACTCTGTATTCTTCCAGTTGGACTGCAAGGATGAGCCAAACCATATCTCTAAATGTTCTTCTTACAGCGGCCCTAAAATGCATCACAATTAAGTGGAAGCAACCAGAACCGCCTTCCTACAACTCATGGGTCCAAATTGTGAGGGAATTATACCGAATGAAAATAACATACTTGTTAAGACTTCAAAAAGACACTTTCAGCCAATGCTTAAGATTTACTCAAGTAACCAAGTCTTATAACTTAATGTTTATTTTTTTTCTTTTCTGGAAAATGTTACATAGACCTACCATCCAAGGTTAATTCTGGTGCTAGGCTTGTTTGGTGAAGCTGAGACCGCAAATATGATGCTGAAACTATAAAATGTCATGCTGGGATGGTTAATCTATAGTACAATCTCACACTGTAGAAACTGTTACTTGTCATTGTATGCTGTGTAATTTCTCTGTTTTAAAATAAAAACATTAAAGTTCTAAAAAATAAAAAAAATCTTTGTGCAGCTAAAGATGCCTTACTTTGAACTACCTGGATTTGGTCAACCTTGGGATTATTTTGTAAATTTTATTTGGAGTTAGTGTGGCAGACATTTGTATTGGTCATGCATGTTCAATGTGGGAAGCTGCATGTAACTGCCAAATAAAGGATGATTCAACATATTATGGGATGGCTGGTAACCCTAAATGCTCTCTCCTCTATATTGATTACTTTGGTTATTTCATCTCAATGTAGATGTTAATATTTTTAAGAAAATATTTAGTTATAAGACCCAGGTTTAAATCCCAATATGATCAAGAAGGGTCTGACCCCCCCAGTAATGCAGTGAAGGCTGACTAAAGAATATTTAATTGATAACATTTACAGCAACACGCTAGGATTCACTGACCACACAAGAAGGCCCAACTGCCAAACAGTGTTTAATTTTACTTCATTTTATAAGATTGTGGCCAAAAGGTTCCTGCTTTCTAAAGTAGAAATGTGGTTGAATCAGTGGTTCCACAAAGGGAGGTTTTTTGTTTTTAATGAAAGACCCTTAAATAATCAGTGCAATCTGAAAGCTACCTATCATCAGCTCTGTCTACAAACCTAAAAGACAACTGATAAACTCCAAAGAAAAATTATTAAAACATAGAAACTAAAGGTAAACTTCATCACTATTTTTGCTATGAGCCAGCAACACTTTTATTAATGTAGTCCAATAAAGAAACATCTGTTCCAGGATCCCATTTTGTTTTATTATTGTGCACTTTCTCATCAATATATCATTAGAACTATTTGCACATTTTACAATAAAGTCAAGGCATTTGGCTAAAAAAAAAAACTGGGTGGGAAATAGGAACCATGTCTTCTTTTTTCTTAAAAAGAGACAGTCATTTAAATAACATCCTGTACATTAAAGAGGAAAGGAGGCAAACAACCAGATACTTCCAGGGAATCTGGCAGCTTGATTCACTTCATTAGCAGAGAAACCCCTTCATTAGCACTGATCCTTTCTGGGGTACCGTAAGAGTGATTCTCAGTCCCTTTAATAGCTTGAAAATGCCTGAGAGCTGGCAGACATTTCCAATGAAAACTGTGTTTTAAAGTCATTTTATACTTTGGTGTAAATTATTCTGCAGAATCTAGGTTCACTGACTTCTTTGTATCCTCTCACAGGTTAGAGAGAGTACCCATTTGGCAAATAAACTCTAAAAGCAAAACAAAATGTAAATGGATAAACATAATTCAGAGCATAAATGAAGGGTGAATTTAGAAATGAAGAAAATATACTGTAACTCCAAGTAAAACAAAGCAAACCTATATGAGAATAGATTCTGGTTCTATTGTTTGGCTTTGCAATAAAAAATTAAAAATGATAAAGGGGTTATAGAAGGAAGAAAATCTAAATTATAAGACAGTTTGCAGAATAAAACTATTAAATTACAGCCAGTTTGTTTGAATGTTTACAAATAGTTGGTCAGAGTACAATGCAGAGCAGATTTCCCATCTATAAACAGTGGAGATTTTACACCGTTTATTGTTTGATTTGGACAGAGCTCAATCACTTCACTTCTCACCAAAGTTTTAAATCATGAGTTCACAGCTTGGAAATAATAATCAGTAGAGTCCATGTTTGTTTGAATTGATCCCAAGCCACCCTGAAACTGTGACAAAGCAGTCTGTCTTCTCAGTGTGCTGTGTGGACATCTCCAGGTCCAACTTTAGCTTCATGTCTTATGCTTTTCGTCCCTTTTCACCAGTCCTCCTTATCTTTACGCAAAGAAGACAACGAAGACGATGAAGAAAACTACCAGGACCAGAAAGATCTTGATCATCAGCCAGCGATTGGAGGACACCGACTGGAAGTATTTGAGGATTTCTGTGTGAGCAGCCTCCACGTTCAGCTGTGTGTCTTCTACGTTGGCATCGATCCTGTAGAGAGGAGACACAGAGTTAGAAAAATGGCATCCAGGATTTAAAAACAGCAGGAAAACAGCTCAATGGTCTTATATTTAAGCATCCCTTACCTCTGGATGGTCTCTTCTTGTTCTTTCACCATGTGAGCCAGTTGCTGGAATATAGAGCCCAGCTCTACGATGGTGCTTTCAATGTTCTGCATGGTGTCAGCACGGCTCTGGATGTACGAGTCCTGGAAACACATAACCACCAAGACTTTAAAAGAGGGTCTTTACCTAGATGTTTACTTCATTTGGGATTTCTATATGAACTGCAGGCTAATTGGACTTTAGTTGTTAGCCTAAATATCTGGGTTTCCTGAACAATATCTGTGTCTTTCACCCTTTAAAAGAACTTTACAGTAATAGAGATTGTTTCACCTGCTGCACCTCCCTGTCTGTCTGTCATAAAAACTATTTTCCAAACTTCAGCTGATGAATTAAAGCAAAATTATCTGAAAATGGAAGGCATATCAGAGATTTTTTGTCCAAAAACATGAGTTTGTTTTCGTGCAAAATGTGAAACCTCTCCCTTTTATAATTTATCACCAAATCATATCAAAACAAGCAAATAGCTTCGCTCACCAGAATATCCCCATTGTGGGACAATGAAGGGATTTTTCTGTTCTATAACATCCCATCTGTAGCTGTCTGAATCATATAAATGTCTTTTATATCTGAGGACTCTCCCCCTGAGATTTCAGTTGCTCTCTATTTAAAAGGAGAGATACAGACGTAGGTAAAATTGGACTAAACTATCTGTGGCTATGGCCTCAAAGGAATACCAGACAGTGTCCCTGTAAACAAAACAAATTTTTCCTAGCTCACATGGCTGTCAGGAAAAAAATTAATGACATTGGAGAACCCCGAGTGCAAATCCAAATGCAAAAAAAAAAACAACAAAAAATTATTTTTTATTGCCTCCTTCAGCTGTACAGGTGTGACAAACAGCAGGCTGGTACCTGTTCATCAATAAGCTGAAGCTGCAAAGGATTGCTCTGCGAGTCCATATCGATGGCCACATCCCCCATGCTCCGGGACTCGTCCTGCATTAGGACCGAGCTCTCTGAAAGAAAAAAAACAAGCTGGATGAACAAGATTTGACAGAAACTTGTGAATGTTGCAGCTGTAAAAGCGGAATGCACAGCGGGCACATACAGGAGCTGCTCATACCCGCTGTGCCAGGCCAGCGTTCCACGGAGGGAGTACCTTTTAAATTTGAGGTTGTATAGCCCTGGTAGTCATAGCGCTGCTCGCGAGCTGCATGCGGCTCCTGGGCCCCTTTTTTGCGGCTCCCTAAAATATTTTTTAATCTTTGCATTACAGAGGACCAGATACAGTGATAATCATTCACAAAGACTTGGGGTAGCTCACTACTGTAACAGCTATGCTATCAAAATAAACTGGAGCAGCATGTTCAGTGTGGATATGCAGGAACCATTTGCTCCTGTAATCAGTAAATATGTCAAGAATTAACAAACCTCCACAGTACATGATTAAAATCTAGTTATCAGGGTAAATGTGTTGATCTGAAAACCTGCAGATCCTGTGCTTCCGGTTTCAATAAAATACAAACTCCAACAGGAATTAGATTCAGGAACCTCGCACCAATTAATAATAGCAATTAATAATAATAAAAATGAATTCAACTAAATAAGTAGGGATAATTAATCACATTGCAAAACATTTGATCATTATCGTTTACTGTTAATGGAAACCCAGAATTCAGTTTCTCAGATAACTTTGTTATATTTATAGACCAAGAAAATAAGAATTGAAAACAGAAACATTCTGACCTGTACAAACTCAGGGAGAATGCCCACTTCACCCCCCACACCAGCCAGCTAGCTACAAAAACCCACAGCTGATGAATCTGGAATGTATACTAGCATAATCATGGAAAATTTAGTGGGAGGAAAAAAATGCATGCTTGGAAAATGTACACAAGCAGCAGGAAACCTTTGCCTATGCCTGAAAGCAAGGCCAATAGAAAAAATGGTGGTGGAGGAAAGTTTTCTTAGTCCTCTTTTCTATTGGAGAGGCAGAGAAAACCAAAGATGGAACACTTTATGGTTCTCTCAGCTGGTTAAATTTATTGATATACTAATTTCAAATTCCAGCCAGAACTGATATCTGACCACACCGCTTAGGGTGTGAATAGTTGCATTAATGACCATCATATCTCTGTACTTGGAAGAGGAAGCTGAGAAGCACCAGAGCCAGCAAAGCAGATGAGCTGAAGGCTGCGCTGTTCCTTAACAGTTCCCCTTTAAGCAGAAGGAGCCCTGACCAGGTTCTGACTGCACAGACGGACAAACGTCCTGACAGACCAACATTTCTGTGTTCAAAATCGGCTTCCAAGTCATCTTATGTAAAACTCCTGTCAGAAACTGAATTTTGTTTTCATTAGCAGACACTCATATTTAACCAAAAATCATTGAAACATGTCACTGTTAGTGTAATTGTTTCCCTTAACTTAATCTACATAATGAAGGTCATTTTCAATTAATCTTCTAACCTATTAGAATGTTCCTGCACAGTCAGTACAGACTGAAAGGAGAAAAAAAACATCTTGAAGATTCTAGAGACACATCATTTGGCCTTTGACCACAAAATTTAGGTTTTTTGTTTTTCTGAGAGGTCAGATTCCAAATTTCACTGGCATCTATATTTAAATACGGAAGGACAAGAAATCACCGTCAAAGAAGAACAAGCGTGGTTGGAAATCTTAATATAAAAATGTATAAAAATAAGATTTGTTTCTTTTGATTGGCTGATTAGGGATCTTAGCCGATCCAGAGAAATGGATGATTCCAAATTCTGTCTGACTGATTGATGCATCTCTTCTCATTTTTATCAAACACTGGGATTATATAACCCACTTTGTTTGTATCTGCTTAGAGTAATGTTTATTAAAATGACAAATACGAGGTTATGACAGTATATGACGTTACATAAAGGTAGATTAGAAAAACCACGCAAGGAATTTTACCCATCTATGCCCTCGCTTATAAAGAGTGTGTTAAAGATGCAAATAAAGAGATAAAAATAAGCATCATGATTGACAGCATGAGACATGTGAGACCAGCCTTTAAGCTAAGCTAGTAGAAAGTTTAATAGTGGTCATTTTTGAAAACTTATAGGACAATTTCTGAATGCCACACTACTGTACGTGTAAGCTTCCATCTCTAAGACGGAAACAGTACGGTCACCTTTTAACGCCCTCTGAGCTGCAGCGATAACATTTTTGCTTTTGATTTGAATCAACTGCTGCTGCTTATCTCCCAGAGCACAACTTCTGTTCTTTCCCTAACACAGCTTTTGCAGAACATTTGGCTTTATTTGTGCAAAGTGAACATGCATTAGTAAAGCCATATGCCTTCACTTTAACCCCACCCAAGATGAAAAAATAAATAAAAATGAAAAAACAGATAAAAATGAACATGCATACAGCCAGGAAGCAAACAGACTTACTGAAGTTGTTGGCCATCATAGGAGAAGTTGCCACAGGAGGCTGGGAGAACTGCTCTCTCCTGCTGCGCTGCTGCTTCAGGTTCTGGGGAAAACATTTAAAAGAAAAACGTTCAAAAGGAAAGCAAATATATTGATAAACAATTAATAAAAATGCTAATAATGTAAGGAGAAAAGAATCTCACCTCGGTTCGAACTTCTAGGACAGATTTGAAGTCATTAGACATCGATGCCAGTTTGGACTGTAACCAATAAAAAAAATAGGATTTTAAGAAGAATTTAAAGTAAACATAGTACCCTATAGCTATAGGAAAACTGAAATACTACACTGGAAAAGCTGCATTTTTCATTATAAAGCATTTTCCAGTCTCTTGCTTTAGCATACAACCAAAACAGCAGCTTTCCTTTTTTGGCTTTTGCTTAGATTAAACTTTTACTCTTTGCCAAAAAAACAAGATAGGAAAAAAAAAAAGATGAATCTGCATTCTAAATGTCCTATAAAAATGGGAAGTTGATGACTGTGGGATACCTGTAATGACACCACGATAGTGTTGGAGTGGGTTTGGATGTGTCGGCCACCTGGAGTGCCGCGGGACCTCACCAAGTCCTGGAGCTGTGCAATCTGTTTGTTTAGACTGTTGATATCCTGCAAACACAAACACAGGAGTCGGTATGGAAGCATTCTTTTTAATTAAGCCTTAAACTCGGCCCTCTGCACTCACTTGCTTAATAATGTAGGTGAGTTCCTCTATTTCCACTGCCTTGTCGTCAAATAGAGACTTCCTTTTCGCCACTGAAACATCAGAGCAACCAAAAACAGAATTAGCAGTTTGGAAAAAAACTGCAATTAAATACAGACTGCTTTCTTAATTTGGAGCAAATGTAAAAAATTATAATAAAAAATAAATAAATAAAAACAATCAACTTACAAATCGTGAGCTTTTCCAATTTGGCAAATGTATTGCTCAGGTCTTTTCCAATTCTCCTAAAGTCACAAATAGAGATGCAACTTTATTGTTTGGAATCAACATAATGAAAATGTATACATTTTTTATCTGTTCTTTCTTCCTCTGACTTCAGTCTGGATAAAAATGCTCTGCAGTAATAAAAATAATGACATTTCAAACCATTTATTATTCAAGTATTCAGAAAAGGGTGGGTGTAGTTTCAATAACAGAGAACATTTAGCGAGACAATATGTCTTAGCTGCAAAAACAGATATAAAGGAGGAATATGAAGAACTTACTTGGCCATAAGTGTGAAATCACTGTGTTGCCTGAGGGCACTGTGAGCTGGTTTACTGGGCTGAACTCCATTCTGCTAAAGGAAGTAATAAAAATCAACACCATTATGTCTAAATAAAAAAAGTCTTCATCCATCCCGCATTTTTTTTTTGTCATTACACTGTCACAAGTACAGAGCAACGAAATTCACTCTCTGCATTTAGGTCATTCCCTTGGGGATGCAGTGGGCTGCCATTGTGCGGCGCCTGGGGAACAGTGTACAGTTAAGGTTCTTTGCTCAGGGATCCAGAGCAAGTGGGAGTAGGGCTCAAACTCACAACCTCAGGATTCCAAGCTCTATGCCCTAACCACTAGGCCATCTTTACAGGGACAAGAAAGATGAAAGATGGTGTTGATAAAAGATAAATGTCGCTTCGTCCACTGTTTTGACCCTACATGGAAATCACCCCCAAGTTTAGAGTTCATGTTAAACACAAAAGAAATCCCTATCCATGTGACTACCACTTCCACTAACATTGTTTATATTAAAACAGACCCATTCAATGTTTAAATTTAAATCCATGCCATTCAAGTGGTGCATTTTTATAAACATGAAGCAAGCTCCAGTATTTAAACAGATACAACTAGTTATTGATCATTCACTTATCCCAACTTATTATGGACTAAATCTTATTGGATTCAGATGTCCTAAAGGATGGCTAATATACCACTATGTGTGTCTTCATTTATAAAACACAGCAAACTTTTTATTACCTGATATATAACAGGGAGTCTCAACGTTTGATTAAGCATTTGAATATAGGAACAATAATAGTGATGATGAATGTGAAATGCAAGTGCTCAAAAATCACAACTTTTGCAAACGTGATAAAAAGCGCAACTTTTTTTGAACACATATTTCACATATAATCAACTGTTTTATGTCTACAATATAATGAAGATGCTAAAAGGTTAAGCCAGAATAACAAAAAAACTTTTACTTCATTTTTAACAACTTATTGAACCCAAGTTCTTTGGCTTGATTTACTGTTTAGAAACCCTGTATTCGTTTTCCCCAATATAACACTGGTTTTCTTTTAGACCTTTTGAATAGACTTTCCATCAATGTTTTTGGTTTTACAATTACAGAAGAAAAGATAAGCCCTACAGAGTTGTATATTGTCCAGGATATATACTTTTCTGAAATACTTTTAAATCTTTTATACTATAAAGAAAATACCACCATAATCATCAAGATTCCTATTTTAACTGAAACTCAAAACATTACTCTGAAATCATGGAAACAAGATAGCTGAAGCAGGATTTTATAACTTAAGCTACTCTGAATGGAAATATGATGCGAAAAGAAAGCAAAAGTGGAACCAAAACATATATGATGTCATGTTTGGGGGTAACATACCTGTCTGCCCTGGAGAGATTTACAGGCTGACTGGAACTCGAGGGTTCGGTCGCGGCACGTCATCGTGCCGCTAGTTAAAGGGTCAGAACCCCGCTGTGGACCACCTGAAACTCCTGGATCTTCCTCCTGAGGCCGATTCGATTAATAACAAACAGAAAGACCACCAGGCATCCAACCGACCTACATCCAAGGTGGTGTGTCTGTCGTAAACATACACACAAGCATGTCTGTGACAGAAAATAAAAACATATGTTAACCTCCTTGGAGTCATATAAGAAGATTACTTCATCAGAAAACAACACAGCTGAACCGGCATCGCTAGCTTTCAAACATAACATAAAGATTTAAACCACTGAAATTAGGTGGGAGTCTTAGCTTCAACATATACCCAATTAAGAGCTAAAAATACGTTTCAGTAGGTAAGGATGATTAATCTGAAGTCTTGGGAAAGGCCGCCCATCACGACGCACAGCTGATCACGGCCTAATGTTAGCTCAGGGATGCTAACAGGTTTTTCGAGCTATCAGTCCCTCATTACAGCGGTTCAGTACGACCGAAACTGATACAGTGATTAGTAGTCTAACTTAAAAAATATATAAATAAATGTATTATATCGGTTCAACTTACTAGATTCGATATCACAGCATTTTAATGAGGGTTCTCGATGTTTCTGTTGAGAAGTAACCGACCCTACACTTAAAGTTTCGATCCGGGTCATTTCCGGAATTGACGTCACTGCCACGTCTACTTCTAAAGAGACGGAAAACCCATGCAGTTGTACCACCTCGCCATCAGAGGGCAGCATTTCCACTCTTTAGAGACAACGCACTGATAAACTACAGAAACCAAATAAGATTCATTTTAGCACGGTTCATCTAAATAAGATAGAAAATGATTGATATAAGAGAAACGGATGAGTTCCGGGAATAAAATGATTGCATGGTTTTCCCAGGGGGTTTTGTTTTCTTTTTGACTTATTGAAAGTTCGGAAAACACAAAAAATTCAACCTATTAACTTTTTATTCCTAAAATTGTTATTGACACTAGTGGTATAAATAAAAAAATACCCACATTTATGGTAATCAATGTTATTTTTAAGAAAATCAAATACTTTTTATCAAGGAAAACAAACTCTGTACCACACGAGAACCACGAAAAAGAGAAAACCGCTAAAAATGTTCTCCACCCAGATGGATTTTTGACTACAACTCAGAAAACTTATGCATTATTTATATAGTTTTTTTATAATTTTATTTCCTCTCAACTGTATATATTATGCTTAATGTTTGTATTCTATGGACTTATGGAGCTGAAATGAAATTTGTTGTTTATAAATACAAACTTTGGCAACAATGCTTGTTCTGATTCTGAAATAAATCAGAAAATAGATATATTTCATGAAATGCATAAATCTGTGGGAAATCTGTATAAATGGTATCTGTAGGTTACAGAGTCACCTTAAATCACAAAGGTTACAGTCACCGGTGTGAGTTTTATCATGGCAATGATGTCACATATACATACAAAGCCACAACTTCAATCATTTTTACAGTTATTAAGTGAGATGAAAAAGCTTGTTCCATGCAAGGACATCAACATATTTAGAAAAACTCGACTCCCACCTGAATGTTGTGGGTGGGGTGCGTGGCTTTGTTATTTCCAGCACAGGAGCTCTACTAGAGGCCTGGGAGCTTGAGGGTTCTTAGTATCTCACCTGTCCCTAGAATTTTACACTTCTGGACTGAGTTATCTGAGGAGTGTCCAGGTATCTCCAGTTTGGGGGTTACTGAGCCCAGTAACTTTTTCCCTTTTTTTCCTGCTGTTTCCATCATTTGGGATGGCCACATCAATCTCTACATTCATCCCCTGATGCTTATTAATGACCAGAATGTCTGGTTGGTTTGCCACAGCCATTTTATCTGTTTGGATCTGGAAGTCCCACAGGATCTTAGCTCTGTCCTTCTTCACTACCTTGGAAGGTGGCTCCCATTTTGACCTGGGGGTCTCCAGTTTGCATTCTGCACAGATGTTTCTATACACTATACCAGCCACTTGCTTATGCCATCCCATGTAATATTTTCCTACCAGTATCCTACACCCTGCTGTGAGATGCTAGATTGTTTCTGGGGCCTATTTGCATAGCCTGCATCGTGGAGCTTGCCTGTTATGGTAGATCTGGGCCACTTTTGCTCTGATTTCAAGGCATGCTGCATTGATCAGTGCTTCTGTGTTGTCCTTCAGTCTGACCATCTCTTGCCATTCATAGAAAATCAGCCATTTCAGCTGTCTGTCGGTTGTACAGGGTTTTTCTCCCATGATGGTTCCTCCAGTTCCTTAATTTCTAGCTTCCATTGTCATGAGGCATTCACTCTGTGCTTTACCTCTTAGGGCCATCTTCCTGATGCATTCTTGGAGATTGGATGTTTCATCTTTAGTGGATGCTCTGATGCTCACTAGGCCTATGTCTCCTTTGCCCTTAGTGCATAGTCTCTGGATACTGGATTTGGTGTGGAATCCTCCATGCATGGTAAGTAGCTCTCACAGTTTGACATCAGTGGCCTGAATATCCTCCTTAGGGGAACTTATTACCCTAGCAGGGTATCTGATTATTGACAAGTCATAGCTGTTAATCGCCCTGCTGAAGAAACAAAAAGACCTGATTGGCTGTTGCCTCAGGTGAGCCGACCTGCAGGTATATGGTATGAAAAAATGAAGATAAGATTCAGAAAGACTCTCTGATGTCCCCCTCACTCATGCTGGTACCTGCATCCTCCTCCTGACAGGATCAAGCCTGTCTAAACCACAAATATGTCCTCGAATAAATGTTTGAGGACAGAGATTTGAACCCCTATCCACAAAACCCTTGTGAACCCCTCCACTATCTTGTGTGAGCCCATCATGACCTTTTATGTAATTCAGCTAAGATGTTAGCTTTTGTATCTTACTTTAATCTATTAACTTGTCTCTCTATCCTCTCATGCTTGCTGTATATCCAAAATCAGCCCACCTTACTTAGATGATTTCAGGTCAGCAAGTACCTGCTAATCAGTGGGAATCACATGTGCTAAACAGAGCTAATATAAGATATGCAAGACTTGAACTGAACACCCCTTTAGACATTTACCCAATTTGTACTTTTTTTGTATATGATATTCAATTAGATTCAAAAATACTTTATTGATCCCAAAGAGAAATTAAATGTTGTAGCAAAACATAATTTTTTTGTTGTTGAGTTGTTGTGTATTTTGATGGCTGCAGGGAGGAAGGATAGTTGTCTGACTTGTGACATATCTGGGGAAGCTGTTGACTGAAGATACTCTGCTGTTTTTAACATTGTTCTGAAGAGGATACTCAGAGTTCACCATCACTTTCCCTTTTTTATGAAGAATTATTCGTATTGAAATGGTCTTAGAGATGGTTTTAGAGAAGTTCCTAGAACGAAACATGGCAGAAGTGTAAAATGAAGTATTTGAGATGTGAGAGGAAACCTTTAGCTTTAGGCTGGATTCAAATTTGTCTGTAGGTAGGAGAGAAGGATGCTGAGCCTGTTCCTGAATGTAACCTGTTGAAGGATGTGTTTAATTCATTGGCTCTGTCCAGACTTCCATCTGTCTGATTATCCTTCTGCTTAAAGCCTGCGGTCATCCTCATCCCCAAACCAAACATCTCAGATTTTCTTTGTTTGGACTTTTTTTTCCAGCTTTTTCCTGTATGCTTCCTTGCTTACCTGTTATCTTGACCTGAAGTAGCTTCTGTATACTTGTTAATAATTCCCTGTCTCCCTTCCCGAAGGTTCTTCCTTTTCAGCATTACCTTCACATTATTGTTTATCCATGGTTTATTACTAGGATAAACATCTCACTCTTTTTGTGGGGTTAGTGCAATCAACATAAAAGTTTATATAATCAGTCATACAGTCATTACATTGATGTCCTCTCTTTGTGGCTGGCACAGTACATCCCAGTCTGAAGCATCAAAACAACCTTGCAGGTCTTCTTCTGCTTCCTGTGGGCATTTTCTTTCAGTTCCATTTAATGTAGGTTGACTCTTACAAACTGGATTATACTCTAAGCAGAAAAAAAAACAAGATTTTGATCTGGGCTCCCATAAAAAAAGTAAAGTTTACTTTAAAGATGTATGAGTCATTGACACTTGGATTTAAAAAAGTCCAAAGTTTTATTTTCTGTGCTAAAGCAACTGAAAAACAGTTGGAATTTTGGAAGCAAAGCAAAAAATAAGGGGTGATCGAAATCACCAGTTATTGCCAAAAATTCATTTGGCTGTTGTGTTTGTGTCTTAGCAACAAAATGACACAGGACACAGAATGTGGAATGTAAACAGATGCAAAAACAACACTGGTAAACTCTTTGAGTGGACAAAAACCCAAAATACTGAAAAAAATAAAATAAAATCTAGTCAGGGGAGATTAGAAATAATACTACCAAACTCCACCCCAAAACAGCAAACCCAGCAGTGAAACTTGGTGAAGGGAACATCACATAGTGGGATTGTTTTAGTAAAGGGGAATTGGGAGCCATGTTAAATTGTTGAAGGAAAAGTGAATCGAGAAAATTTGTGGAACATTTCTTTTATGAATCTGAAGATGAGATGAGGCCAGATTTTATCTTTAAGTCCAACACACATTCAAGAAAAGTCCCAGAGAAAGAAACTATAGCTGCTGGAATGAGTCAGTTCCATTGAAAATCACTGCAAAGAAAAGAGAGAGCAGGGAAGATGCCCTCAGAACCTTTAAGATAGAACAAGAACTT